GTAATGAGTATAGCCCAAACTTCACGACGAGAAAGAAGGAATTTCCATGGAACTTCTTTTGGATTTGATAATATTAAATTCTTCGGTAATAGTACATCATCAACCTCGGCATCAAGATCATTATTTACTTCGATTACAGAGTTTGATGTTAATGAAACATCAGTAGTTACATTATCATTCTCATTTGTTGATTTCTCTGATAATAATGCATCAACCTCGGCTTCAATATCATTATTTTCCTCGATTACAGAATTTGATGTTAATGGAACGTCAGAAGTTGCATTATCATTCTCACTTGTTGACGATTCAATAACAATTTCACCAGATTCAATTCTATGATAACTTAAATTTTTGTGATGTTTATTTTTTTTTTTCTTGCTTTTTATAATTAAATCCAACTCTTCTTGACTTATTCCTGGATATTCATTTGGACTACTTTTACCATAAATTTGCCATAGTATAGACCAAACGAATCCAGCCATTCCAAACGTCCAAAAAATACTTGGCCATCCATAAGAGCCAGATCCTAACCAAGTTGATATCGGTAGGGCAACCACAATTCCTATATAAGCAGCGGCTATATTGAATACATAATTTTATATTTATTAATTGAAAAAATTTTATTTTACAAATCTCTAAAAAAATTGTAATTTATAACTCACATATAATAGCTGAAACTGCTTTACTACTTTCTTCCGTTGGAAACCATGAAGCAATTAAGGAGTTTACAGTCGGAAAACTAGCACCTTCACCAATACCCAAAAGTATTCGACATAATAAAAGATAACCTAAACCAGCCTGAGCAGCAAATGGTGTAAGAAAAGTAAATAATGTCCATAATGCGGCAGCTAAAAATTTATATATAATTTAGTTAATTATTATGTAACATTTGCAGATGCTAAGATGAAATTTTTTTAAAAAAAAATATCCCAGTAATTTCTTGAGATTATGTAAATTTCCAAGAGGTGCAAAATAGTATTACTTTAATATTATTACTTACAAGTCGCCAATACCCATTTTCCACCATATTTATCGGCAAGTGCACCACCTAAAGTTTGTGTTGTCAAGTAACCCACAAAAAATGATGATAGTATAACACCTTGAATTGTTGAGGTAAAGTCAAATTCCAATGTCATATAGACTATGGCAATAGCCATATTTGATCGATCTTTTTCAACCATTTTAATATGTAATATTTTAGAATAAATATAAAATTAAACTGTTTGTATTAAATAAATCAAAATTTCAAGTACGTACCCGCATAACTGATAATAATGCCAGTCACACAAAGAATAATTATAATTAATCGCTTTGGAAGATAAAATTTTGAAAATTTAAAATTTTGAAAACCCATTTTTTTCCCCCAATTATAATGTGCGGAACTTTTATGACTTAAAAAATGGTTCCTTAAATATTTATATTTTTGAAGGCTGACGCCTAACCTTATTTGTACTCTTGTACCTATGATCGCCGCATATGAACCCTTGCAGTTATTCTGTGCCAATTATATAACATCAAAAAAAAAAATTTTTTTAACACAACTTAGATAAGTATCCATCACTTTTAGATTCTATAAAAAAAAAGAAAACTTTAACTATATAGTTTGTTTAATTTTTTGCTATAGGGTAAGATGGCTTCAATAATCAAAATTCAAAAACGTTCCAAGATACTGCATTTACACAAAATTTGTCACTGCGCATTTTCTATGTTAAAACAATAATAAATATTAAAGAATTAAGTAAAAACAATATAACGACTCTATTCAACGGTACATTAATTTGTAAAATAATTCTGAAATACAATTCACTCTCGTTATAGTGAAGTCATCAGGCTAGAAAAAAATCTTCACTATATAGCTTATATTGAGAGAATGCTATATGTATTTTACTTTATCGATTTGATGTTTAACAATTCCGTAATTCAAAATTCTTCACTAAATTGAGGGTTAACTATAACGGGAGTGATTTGTGGCGAACGATGATTTTCTCAAAGAATTTGTTATAATGAAAAGCTAATATCTTACGACCATCAAACCACGCTAAAAAAAAACAATAATTCACATTCTTTCACATTATATGCATTTGAGTATATATGCTACCGTTCACGAGAACATGTGAATGACCGAAATTACGAAAAATGACTAACACGTTATCCGGCAAACTCATATGATCATGAAAAAATTTCTTTGTTATTTTTTTCTTGTGTTACGATATAATTATGTTTATTCTAGTATTCAAAAAAATCTCAGCGAGCGACTCCCTACCAATCATGATCATAAATTGCCGGATAACACCGTTGTTGGGCTACACGTACCTCAAAGCGGCACGTCCTCATTTGCCAAATTACCGTTATTCGACAATTTTTTGCCCAATAATGTATACTTAACTGTTAAAAGTTAGTAATCTTTCGAATATACGTATCTCTGATCTTAATAAAATTTCGTGTAACAAAGTGATTACAGTAATCGCCAACGAAAATAAATTAACATCATAAAAATTATTTTACAGCCATATAAACTTGCAAAGCAAAAGCGTAATTCTTAAGATTACCTAGAATACTGTATAAACTGTTAGTACTAGTTGAATATTTAAGGACTTGAAAAAATAATGCACATGAGGCGAAAGAACGAAAGAACCCAACTTATATCTATAACTAACTAGCATAAATTCACTTGCAAAAATGAAATAAAAAATAAATGTAAATGAAATTTGTTTATGAAAATGAGTGCCATCCACATTGTATCGAATGTTCATAATAATTAATGTATTTAATATATATATTAATAATACAGCAAAATTTAATTAAACCGTTTTAGATCTAAACTTATTTAAGAGAATTCAGAAACAACTCAAGTTGATTCTGCATGATTAGAAAATAGTAATTGTCTTCGTTATCGTCCGCTCCTGGCTTTTATTGTTCACTATACCACCCGAAACCAACAGAGTAAAAATGTGTTTCTCGACACAAGATATGTATAACAAAATTTGATAGTAAATTTAATAGAAATTTTAAATTTTTATTTGTTTAATTCGGTGAGCTTGGATATTTATACAAGAAAACTCGTACACCTAGTGGGCTTTCGTACAATGAGAAAAAAAAACAGGTATTCAGTAAAGTAGTACTGTACGGCAGTATATATTCAGACAGACGTACGAATATTATACTAAATTTTGATCGTACGTACGGTTAATACATTAGACATCGCTTTCAAATTTTCGTCAATTAATAATAATTGACATACGTGAGTTTAAATTTTATACCGACTAAAATGTAACGTACATACTGTACATAAATCTAATATTTTTTAAAAAAAATTTTTATTGATTTTTTTTTTATTTTCTTTGCAGAATGGTTTGGTAATTCATTTTTTTCGGTTCAACCCTTTGAATAAATTGTTGACAGCTATGTGAATAGTCGAATGGCCGAAAAAAATGAAAGAAGTATAATTGATTATTCAAAATATGATCACTGTTTAACTGTTTTAAAAGTTCACAAAAACCAAGGCTCTTAATACCTTTAAATTATTTAAAATTGGAGTTATCGATGAGTTGAATATTCAGTTGAATAAACATACTGTGTATATCCTATTAAAGATTTTATGAAACACGATATCTCACAAAATAATGACAATCACTGTAATATAAAATAAAACCCTTCTTGTTGTAAAAACAATGCTTTTCGTACTTTCCAATGTAGTTGAGTCATTCTGTTAAGCATTCTTTATATTTAAAATTTTATGTATTAGCCTAGTGTTTTCAACTTCATTAAAATGTTTTTTTTTGTTGCTTAAAGTAATTTTAATAGTGCAATAGTGTAGTGTTAATGTAAATGACATAATTAATAAATATATAATTTGTATGTTTTTTTAATTCGTAATTTATTATTGAAACAATACCTTACAATTTTAATGTTACTTATGTCAATTTTTAATTGACGGAAATTTGAAAGTGTTATCTAACAAATACAGACTTGCGAAATTTGATTTTTATAAGTAAACCTTTTAATGGTTGGAATCAAAGCTAGTAAAAAAAAAAAAAAAAAGTAAATTAGTTTGAAAATTTTTCTTTTACAAACCATACGTACTATCATGATTTATATATGTCCATCCTAATTTGCGTTTCCGTACTGTACTACTTTATACTCAAAAAAAACTCATACATCTAGTGGGCTTTTTCATATAACTGAGAAAAATTCGATCCAAAATAATGTTGTAAAATTCGGTTTTATTAACACTTATTCTATTAATAATTTTTAAAAACACATATTAAAAATTACTGTAGGGTTTCTTTTAGTACGCAGTGTTGCCATGAGAGCTTAAATGTTCTGATAAAAATCAATTACCTAAAATTTTATAACACTAGAATAAAATGGAATATAATCATATAAATTTTTTAATATTTAAAGATATGTACATACCTGGGTCTGAATATAGACTTGCCAGAAAGCTTTGAACGTCAAAAACGCGTTACTGTATATTCTGTACAATTGACATGTTTACTAGTTGTTTACTACGTGCGGATCTACATGTCACGTACTTGATTCTTCCACATAGCGAGTAAGTTCTTAACAGAAGTTTTTATTGTAATTCCAATATAAACTAACTTATCTATACCAACATACTATGTGTTATCAGAATATCAAATAAGCTCTTAGCAGTAAAATACCGATAATTTCAATTCAAACTACATTCTAACTAATGTTGGCTAATAATGTTAAAAATTTATACAGCTACAGTAGATTCTCGCAATAGTCACATTCGAAATAGTCACAATCTCACTATAATCACCTTAATATTTTGTTCTTATAATATAACGGGGCACCACCGGTGCCCCGATTGTTCGAGTTGATTTTTAATTTTATATGATTTATTGTCCAGAGCGTAGTGATGGACTTTTAGTTTCTATGCAAAGTGATATAAAAGTTATGCTTTTGATATTTCATAATTACATTTTGATATATCTATATAAATATCATAAAGATTATATCAGAAATGTAATCTGGTAACATGAAATTTGTAATTTATGTAATAATATGTTCACTATATGAAGCGTTTTAGATTTATAATGTTATGCACTTTCTTTGTTTTAAACTTAATTTAAAGTATGTTATAGATATTAATTATGTAATTAAATAATTAATGTTCAGGAGTAATTTATTATTTTGGTTAATAGTGTAAATAGAGTGTATAAAGGATGTTAAAATGCAAATCGTTTTGATATAATAAATTTATAAGAGCAAAGTTTGATATAAGAAAAAAGCAAAACTTTTTAATAATTTTTTTTTGTATTAAGGTTTTGATTTTTTTTTTTTTGCTTTTTTGTATTATTTCATTATAGAGGTGAAATTATTATATATGGTATTGAGTTTTATTTATTTTGTTATTTACAAAAAATAAAAATTAAAAAAGAAAATTTTATTTTTATTAGGATCAGTTTATTTAAATATGTTAGTGTTTATTCAATTAATTCTCTATAGACTATATTGATAGTTTTTGTATTTGTATTATTTTCTGGGAGTAGTATTAATACATGCTCTCTATTTTTCACCCGTGATATAGCTGTATATAGCCATCTATGAGCAAATACATGTGTTCTAAGATCTATAACTATTCGATCTAATGTAAGACCTTGACAGCTATTAAAGGTTGTTGAATATGCAAGTTATAATAGAAATTGTTTTCGATATACAGTCCATGAACAATAATCTAGTTGAAAATAGAAGTTTATTCTCAGGATAAGGTGGGTTTCTAATATGTTATCAAGGTTGTTATTTTTGAGAATCTTAATTTTAATTAGTTGTTGATATATATTAGTTATTATGACTCATGCATTTTTGACTAATCCTTTGTTAATAGAAATATTTCGCATAATAGAGCATATAGCTCCAATTTTTAGATAAATTTCATGGTTTGATATTCCAGGATGTGTAAGTTGTGCTAGATAATCTGGTATAGCTGTTGAATGATTGTTGATTATTTCATCATTTTCTCTTACACAGTTGTAATTAAAGTACGTATAAGGGTTTTCTGATAATTTATTCAGTTAAAATTATCAATTAATATATTATGGGGACTCAGAAAGGCTCTTTTTTGTAACATCTCATGATTCGTAAGTATACTTTCAGGATAAAGAAAAGTTGTTGCTGTTTCGATATTTGTAGTGGTTTTAAAAATATTTAACAA